AACACTTGCCAGATGAAGATTGAACGAGAGAGTGACCCGAGGTAGACGTGGGAGTCACTTTCTGATCTATTTGGACAAGAAAGATGTTCTGGGCTTACTCGGCTGATGGTATGCCTGCACGGAATGTCAGAAACCCTGGGTTCCATCCCCAGCTCCTTGTGGTGCATGCCTGTAATCCCAGCACTTGGGAGACGGAGGCAGGAAGATTACAAGTTCAAGAGACTGCAGAGATGGCTCGGTGGTTAAGAGCACTGGCTGCTCTTGAGGAGAATCCAGGTTTAATTCCCAGCACCCACACTACAGTGACAACTATCTGTAACTCCAGGTCTAGGGGATATTACACCCTCTTCAGTCTTCTGAAGACATTTCATGCACATGATGCACAGACACATACGCAGACAAAACTTATACACATAAAATAAAAGCGAATGCATTTGTAAAAGAGAAATTCAAGGTCACTGCTAGTTACACAATGACTTTGAGGTCAGCCTGAGCTACACGAGACCCTGTCTCTAAAACAAGACATTATGTATTATTAACTATTAAATAATGTTTTTACTGGAAAAGAAGTTGAATGACATGGACCACCAGTGTCAGAAGTAGACACTAACTTAATTGGAGTTCATCACCTGGTCTGCAGGACTCCAAGTCCAGCGCTCTGTTAGGAGGGGCTGAGTGAAAAAGGTTGTTCTGGGCGGCAGATGGGGGTGAGGGAATGGGAATGGAGGCAGTGTGGATGTTTCCTCTCCCTCCTCCAGACCCTTATGTTGTGGAGTAATCCTCCTGTACAGTGTGAATATGTATCATTCTCACTGGATACACAGAGGACAGGTAAAGCCATGAGTCACTCGGCAATACACAGATTAATAGAAATGGGTTAATGTAAGTTGTAAGAGCTAGTTAGTGATAAGCCTGAGCTATCAGCTGAGCATTTGTAATTAATATAAGCCTCTGTGTGGTTACCTGGGACTGGCAACTGGGAAAGAACTCTACCTACACCCCTATGTTCTCACCTGGGTACCACAATGCCATATGACTTTAACAGAATCCAGTGCCAGATGCTCCTGCCTGGGCTCTGTGAGTGAGGCCTATGTCCTATACCCCAGGATGATGGGTATTTGGGTTACAGACAACCTATGACAAAGGTAGGGATATCCCTTGGGAGTCTGGATGGAGTTAGGGCTGCTAACTGCAGACAATACAGGCCAGATAGGACCTCCTAGACGTAGACTCTGTCACTCACACGGCAGGCCTCTTAACTCTCAGGGCCTCTTGTTCCCTGCTCTGTAAAACAAGGACAACTATATCTGTAAGAGCCCTTGCAGGGTCACGTGATCAGCACTGGCATGTGCACTGAGCTGAGACCAGCACCAGCAAGATGCCATGACCTGTGGCTGAGGTGCTGCCCCTGGCCCCTCAGAAGGAAGACTTCAGCCTCGGCGGGGGTGAAGAGCCCAGGCCTCATTATGTTTAATTGCTTGTAACTCAAGCCCCTTAACACTCTCACCCCCACGACCTGCACCTCCAGGAAGCAGCTTTACCATCCTCCCGTGACTGTATGTAACATATTCCCAGAGCCCAGCACGCAGCTCTCAAATTGGCTCACGATTTGTCGGCAGCCTGGATAAAAACATTTTAATGGCTGTGTGCAGCACACAGCCCGAGTGTCGCTCCCGGGCCTCCCAAATGCCTTTTCCTAGCACATAGCAGGATATGATAGGCATGAAATTACAGCCAGTCTTTCAGTTTCATCTCCACCCAGAGGCCTCTGCGAGCAGCTGCGGTGGACTGACGGTGTGCAATGACTTTGATGGAGGTGGCCTGAGCCCCGTCCACAGCCTCAGCCCTTCTCCTCCCTACCCCAGGAGGCTCTCTGTACTCCAAAATCTGGGGTTCCATCCTGCCTCGCTGTTTGTTAGCTGTCACATAAGGAGGACCCGGGCATTGAATGACCTCAACTCAATTGGAGGGTCTCTGAGACACGGAGAAAGGATCTGGGCGGGGTCACAGATAAGCCTAGATTGTGAGGGCCTGTGATTTTGGAAACTGGCCTTGACACAGACATATTTGAAGAAAGTTGTGGAGTTGCGGGAAGCATAATTAAAAACAAACAAACAAACAAACAAAACCTCTCAGGGCTGGGGAGATGGCTCAGTGGTTGAAGAGCTTGTGGTGCAAGCATGAAAACTGGAGTTCAAATCCCCCAAATCCATGTAAATGCTGGGCAGGTGTGGTGGCCACCTAGAATTCTCCAGGACAAGCTGGGGAGACAGACCAGTAATATCAGCAAGCTCTGAGTTTGATTAGAGACCTTGCCTCCGTGTATAGAATGGAGGATCAATTGAGGATGACACACAATATCCATGCAGGTTCTTCCATGAACATGCACTCATCACACATGCAAACATGTATACACACACATGAACATGGAAAAGTAAAGCTAAAATCTCTTTGAGCTGGACAGATGGCTCAGTAGCTAAGAGAACCTGCCGTGCAAACGTGAGGACTGGAGTTCAGATCCTAGCACCTCTGTAAAAACCGGATAAGCTCTGAGCGTGCCCAGCACAGAGGGCAGAGAGAGCAGGACTTCCGGGGCCTGCTGGCTACCGGTCTAGCTGCAAACTCAAGTTTCCAGTTCATAGAGCGACCCTGCCACTGGGCCAAGGGCGATAGAAGACACCTGACACCTTCCTTGGGCTCTGTGTACATACGCGTGCAAGGACACCCAACACCCACATGCCCATATATCATCATACTCTTCCCAATTTGTATTGACAGTTGCTGAGTCACTGGGTGCAGACCCCACAGAAAGGAAGGGATGTTGACATAGTGACCTCTGTGGATGGGTGGCATGCAGTGTCACTGAAGGGGAGACTTCTGCAGGTGGCATGGCCAGCATGGGTGGCTGCTGCCCTTCTCAAGGCTGCAGTGGATCCTGGCTCCTCCAGGATGAGGTGCAAAGACAGGTAGGTGGTCTCCAGAGAGGAGACCCTGGGAAGCCAGACAGGCAGAGCACCCCCACTGTCCCTGCCATTCCCAGAAGCACACCAGCCTTCTAGAACCTTCACTCCTCAGATTACTCATGAACGCTGTGGTCTAAGAGAGAGGCATCTACAAAATGTTCCTCAGAAGGCCGGGCATGTAGCTCAGTGGGTTGAGTGCTCGCTTTGCAATCATGAGGCCCTGGGTTCAATCCCTGGCACCTCATAAACCGAGAGTGGTATCTCACATCTGTAATCCCAACACTGGGGAGGCAGAAGAGGGGGCTTGGAAATTCAAAGTTGCCCTTGACTAGATAGAGTTTGAGGCTAGCCTGGGCTACAAAACAAAAACAAACAAACAAACAAACAAACCAAAGTGGACTTAGTCATAGCCTTTCCTCCCTGGTTAGTTGTGAGGATGGAGTGGCACCGTGCATGGACATGTGCTAGCACCTAGCTATGCACCCAGTGGCCATTGAGGGACTTGGCTCCTCTGAGTCCCTTCCTCCTAATTAATACGCTCTCCTTCACACACCCTCTTCATCCATCGCCCTCCTCTACTTTCCTTCCAGTATCTGACACAGTCACCTGCCATCTTAGAGCTTCATCTGCACATATATCGTATGCCTGGCTCGTTCCCTGCCCTGCAAACCCACCAAGGACCGGAACTTTGTTCTGTTCAAAGTTTGTCCCTGTTTCTGGGCCCAGAGCACATGCCCTGGATGATCCATCAGCATTTGATGAGTAAATAAGGGGATCTGTCTCTCTCGTCGGACTGGGAGCCCCTTCATGGTGCAGGCTGAGCTGCGTTTCTTCCCTGGGGTGGCCAATGCAGGGCTGAGCACTGAGCATGCTCTGTCAGAGGAGCTGGCCAGTCTGCCCGGCAACGCCACCTCCTCTCCAGGCTACTGTGGTGGGATCAATGCTGCTCTGGAGGGCTGGCCTTTGGAGGTTTTCAATTTCCCCAGATCGAGGACTTTCCACGGGCCTTTGTGCTCTCATTGATTGGCAGAGTATAGCAGGATTTGTTGCCCTGACAAATATTATTTGATAAGAAAAACAGAGACACAGAGGCTGGGCCAAGGCCAAGCCCCAACATTCCTGCAGAGGAGTGGCCACAGGATGGCAGTTCCTCTGGCAAGAGCATCGTGCTGGTGGAGCTTCCCAAGACCTCTCAGAGCAAGGCCTTTGCATTTCCAGTGGGGAAACCAAGGCTGGGTGAGGGTTGATTCAGCCAATGATACATCTGCTGGACGTAGATACGAGTATTGCCGTCCCGTGTCACAGACGCACAGATGGAGGCACAGAGTCAGGGTGAGAACCCAGGAGTCCCCACATTCAGCCCAGAATGTCTTCTGACTTCCTAGCCTTTCCACACCCCCAGAAAAGCCCTGGGAGGAGCACAGGGGGCGTATATCTGGAGCATATCACAGCTGAGGTGCTGGGTTCCCTCCCTGGAGGCTCCTGGGCAGTTATCCTCTGTAGCAGATTCTCAGAGCACATGCTTCAGGGCCTTGGCCTCTGCTGGGAAAGCAGCTGCAATGGCTGCAGACTCAAGGCCTTCCTCCACTAGCCGGGCCATGCCACGGGACCTATAGCTGCGTGGCTCAAGAGAGCGACATCCCTTGCCAACCTTCTACAAACATGGCTCGGGGACTGCGACAGCCTGCTGTCTCTGGATATCAATCATTCTTCCCTCGGTGACTCCTTTGTCCAATCAACAAGCAGCCTGTCACAGACCTAGAATATGGGGATCAGGGACAAGGCATAGACTCTAGGTTCCTACAGCTTGGGACTGGGAAGTGAATGGGTCCCTAACACGAGGCTTTGGGGGCCAGGTTCCACAGCCACAGCCTTGCCACAGTCTGGCCTTTTCCTTCTCTCGCCAAGGGTGGTAGATGGGAGAGGGTCCTACATGAGCCACCGGGATTTGACCCCATGTCCCAGGACAGTTTCTGTGAGCCTGCTTGCGTGTGCATGCATCCATCCATGTCCCTCATTCCCGGAACACTGACTCACCCATGACATTGAGGAAGATGTTGCCTGAGGCGAGGACCACTTTCTCCCTGGTGGCTCTGTCGTAGATACCCACATGGCACTCATAGGGACCATTATCTGAGATCCGGACCTCAGGTAGC